CTGGCCAAAAACACTCAATTTCAGTGGGGGTTGAATAATTTTGGTCACAACTGTAAGTGTTGTTATAAAACTGTGAATGACCAGAGAATAGCTGAGATCTGTTGAATCGCAGCTATTCTCTGTGTCATAAACGGACACCTTAATGCTGATAAGGCACAAAGGTGTCCGTTTATGAACCAGCAGTAATAGATCGCTGCTCAGTTCTCCGGCATTCTCAGCAGAACACAGTTCTCTGAATGCCGTTTATGAAGCATATGTAAATCAGTTCTCCAAACGAAGGGAGAAACAGTCTACAAACGCTGGAAAACGGCTGATTTTACTATAATCTCGCGAGATTACAGTAAAAGATCAGTTTACTAAGCAGAGGTAAATTATCGCTGCTTAGTTTGCAGTCCCTCCAATTCTCCAGCTCTGGGCTGGAGAATCTGGAGGGAGAACACAGATCTCCAGAGAAGGGCTGAACATATTCTCCTGGGTGTCATAAACTGTGAATGACCAGAGAATAGCTGTGATCCTCTGAATCGCAGCTATTCTGTGTGTCATAAACGGACACCAAAGTGAGTTTAATTACCACCTTAATAAACCACAGAACCTGTGTAATTAATATGTATTTGGGTTTAAAGGGATGAGGTGGCAACCCTAGTAGAGGATAGAATGATCGCAGCTGAATATGGGGAGTACTTTTAGGAAAGCATGCATCCTGCAAAAATTTTAAGGGCTCGTGTACACTGCAGCTGATAAACTGACATTTAGGAGCTGTTCAGCGGTTTTTTCAGCAACCCCTGAACTCTCCCTAATGTTTTCCTGTGTGTCTATGTACATATAGTCGGTTACAGTCGTTTACAGGCAGTTGAGTTTACAGTCATTTTTTTGAACGCACCAAACTCACGTTCAGGAGTAGATTTTACCAGCGTTCCAAACGCTTGTAAACGTGGTTAACTGCGTTTATAAGCATTTTTTAACTGTTCCACGTCCAGATGCTGTCCAGAGCCTTTTTCATCATCAGAAATGCATGCAAAGCATTTTCCATGTATTCAAATGGACCCAGTACACCAGCGCAGTCAGTTCCAGGTTTTGCGTGAAGGAAAAAATGGTAGAACATGCTGCATTATGCTCATGATGGGATCCATAGTGAATACAACCAGAAAAGATAAGTAATCTCAACACATACTGCTCTCTCTGCTTCTGCTCTCTCTATTCCTCTCAAAATATCTGAAATAGGTAATTTTTTTACTGTTTTTCAGTGCATTCTGGGCATTTGGGAAGGTCTCCTGAGGTTATCTTTTAAAAATGGTTCTAAACGCAAACGCACATACACAGTATGCAAACGAGGCTAAAGTGATGGTTTTTAACCTACGTTTTCCAGCAGTCAGTTTCTATCGTTCAGAAGAGTTTTCCAAACGTCCCGTGTACATGAGCCCTAAGTAAACAGGACCATGGGGTTGTTTACTAAAACTGGAGAGTGCAAAAATCTGGAACAACTCTGCATAGAAACCAATCAGCTTCTATGTTTTATTGTCAAAGCTTAATTGAACAAGCTGAAGTTAGAAGCTGATTGGCTACCATGCACAGCTGCACCAGATTTTGCGCTCTCCAGTTTTAGTAAATCAACCATACTGACTCCAAGCATAATACCATAACTATACAAGAATGTGTTAAACACCAGTGTTTATGTTTCCGAAATGGCCAAGTCTAAATTTCACTCCAATAAAGAGTTTGTGGCTGTTCACTCACAAACCCAATGCAAGCTGAAAGAGTTGGAGTGATTTTGCAAAGAGGAATAGGAGAAAATTGTAGTGCCAAGATCTGCAAAGCTGATAGACACCAATCCACACATACTCAAGGCTGGAACGGCTGCCAAAGGTGCTTCTACTAAATATGGACTTGAAGGGAGTAAATACTTATGCAGTCAGATAGCATGTGCTTTTTGTTAAGTGAAATCACTTTGCAGATATCTGTTTTTTCACATTGACATAAAAGGAGTTAGTTCTGTTGATTAGTGTAAAAAAAAATGGCTGTGATTCAATGTTTAATGACAATAAAATGTGAAAACTTCCTAGGGGTTGAATACTTTTTTTGGAAAAAGTAATTAACATTATAGAAATAACTTCAACTTACAATATTTTATTACTGAGAAATTGTCTATAAATCATTTTATGAACATTCACCTGCAAAATGACATGTGTTGCCTTTATGAGCAGGAAAACAATCTTAAAGCGGAGCCCCAGTCAAAGCTAAAAAAAAATAAAAAATCAGCAGCTACAAAAACTGTGGATGCTGACTTTTAAAAAACAGCCACTTACCTGTCCCACGATCCAGCGGTGTACTCACCGCAGCTGGCTTCACTGGCCATCCTCGCTCCCCGGTGACAGCATCTTAAAGTGTTACTAAACCCAGGTCCCTGCATTCACTCTATCTGGTCTCCCACAGTACACAAAACATGGAAATGCAATTATTTTAGTAAATATAAACTGCTAAATACCTTTTCTCATCAGCAGTTAGAGCAGTCTTGTGAGCTGAGCACTGGTTACTTGTAGGAATTTTATTTCTGCTCTAGGAGGATGCAGAACCCTTGACCTCTGTCTGGACAGTGCTGATTGGCCCTGTGCTGATCACATGCACTCCTACAAGAAAACTAAACCTCTCTAGCAATACACACTAAACGGAGCATGTGCAGAAAGGCTATGAATTCAGTGGGTCTTATCAGCATGGACATTTGAACAAGAGGAGGGGCAGAGAAGTCAGGATCAAAAAGTCTTTTTACACAATGCAGAGGATTAACCCCTTAGGTTCCACACTGAGTATAACAAGCATGCTTTACTGCATATACAGATTGATTTTACTGTTGTGGGTTTAGTAACACTTTAAGTGTGGGCACCCAGCGTGACAGCTTGCAACTTCACAGCCGGGTGCCCACTGTGCATGCGCCAGTAGCGTTGCTCCTTGTGAATGGACTTGTAGTCTTCTGGCACCTGTCACACGTCCCAGAAGACTATGGGAAGGGGGGGGGGGGGGAGGACAACTTCCGCTTTGATTCGTCTAGGTGGTTGCAGTGGCAGTGGGAGTGAGTACCTGTCAAAATCGGGAACCAGCTCCCCAAAGGTTCCAATTCTGCATGGGGAGCAGTGGACCAGTACTTAAAGCCGAACTTCCCCTTTTGGGTGGAACTCCACTTTAAACTCTTAAATTGGGTTAGAAGTCGCAAAGAAAGAATAAGAGGGATAAAAAAAACAGTAGTCTTAGCATTTCCCTTACTGCAGTATGTGTGTATGTAAATCAATGCCTCGAACATTGCTATATACTGTACTTCCCCTTTCCCATTATATGGTTCTCCATTAATAAAAGTCATGCTAAGAGTGGAGCCAGGGATGTCCCGTGCTATATGTAAAAAAGTCATGACTTATTTTAGAGGCCAATTCAGATTGGTGAATTTTACTACCTGTTACTGCACCACCACACACACCCAACACACTGTTACAGTAGCAGGCAATGCACCTGCACTACAGAGCACCACAAAATGTTTACTGTATGTAAAAAAAAAAGGTTGGGTGCAGGGGCGGACTGACAACTCATGGGGTCCCCTGGCAATAGGGGATCATGGGACCCCTGTGTCCTTGCCCAAACTCAAAAAAGCCTATGAAAAAGGTACCAGGGGCATCTCATGGGGCCCCCTACTGACCCCAGGCCCTTGGGCAGTGCCAGAGTTTCCAAATGGTCAGTCCGCCCCTGGTTGGGTGTGATTTTCTGTGCATTAACAGGTAAATTTATGTATTAAACTTTACAGTTTCACGTTTGCAGGAAAATGAAATCTAATTGTTTTTATGGGTCATTACTCATTACGGTTTGCATTAAATCAACTTGCCAGAAAAGCTAGTGTATTTGTATTTATTGTAGAGAATTACTGTCTGAAATTATGTTCAGCTTACATTACATGAATATTTATTGCAGTCACCTGTAATGGTATATTACAAAAGACCCAAGACCCAGAGTCAGGAAGAGGACAACCAAAGATACAACGATGGAAACACTACGAATCCTCCTCTGCGTTGATAGTCGCTCCCACCACTTCAGGTCATCAAACTGGCATCGTTCTCCCAAATACCCGTTCACACAGCTGAAATGTGAAATGACATATTATGATATTCACACGGAGAAAAAAATTTGTTTTTAAAATAGCACAATCTGCTCACACTTATTTACCAAACAGTAACAAACAAAAATCACTGGTCATATATTTAATTACTTTAACCTGTGTTGTAGATGAGGCTCTCTGAAATGTGTGACACAGCAGTGCCTACTCACAAAGCAAAGTGAATACAGGTCACAGCATTCTCGGAAATATGGGGATCTTTACAAAGTAAGTTTGCAAACTTCAAGACCATTCACATTAATAGAAGTAATTGAAATACAATGAGGAAATGAATATATGATTTTACAGTTTGCCCATGGATACATTTTAAACATGATACACCATTCAGCTAAACTATTTATAAACCTTTTACATTGTTGACAATCATAGTGCATATGTTGGTCTTTAACCACTTGCCTACCGGCACTTGTACACCCTTCCTGCCCAGGCCAGTTTTCAGTGCTGTCGCATTTTGAATGACTATTGTGCGGTCATGCAACATTGTACCCATATGAAATTTTTATCTTTTTTTTCACACAAATAGAGATTTCTTTTGGTGGTATTTAATCACCACTGTGGTTTTTTTTTGCACTATAAACAAAAAATAGAATAGAATTTGAAAAAAAAAAGTTTTTCTTTGTTTCTATTATAAAATGTAGCAAACAGGTACTTTTTCTCCTTCACTGATGTGCGTTGATGAGACTGCACTGATAAGCAGTACTGATTGGCACTGATAGGCAGCACTGATGGGCACTGATGAGGTGGCACAGATAGGCAGCACCGATGGGCACTGATAGGCTGCACTGATGAGGTGGCACAGATGAGGCGGTACCAGGGGCGGACTGACCATTTGGAAACTCGGGCACTGCACGAGGGCCCGGGGTCAGTAGGGGGCCCCATGAGATGCCCCTGATACCTTTTTCATAGGCTTTTTTGAGTTTGGGCAAGGATACAGGGGCCCTATGATCCCCTATTGACCGGGGGCCCCATAAGTTGTCAGTCCGCCCCTGGGCGGTACTGGTGGGCATTGATGAGGAAGCACTGATGATGCTGCAACTGATATGCAGCAATGATGGTCACTGGTAGGTGGCACTGATGGGTGACACTGACGGGTGGCACTGACTGATGGCACTGACTGGCAGCACTGATGGGTGGCACTGACAGACACAACTGCTGGGCAGCAATGATGGGTGGCACTTTTGGGGAGCACTGATGAGTGGCACTGCTGGGCATGATGGGTGGCACTGCTGCTCACTGGTGGAAGGCACTGGTGGGAGGCACTGCTGACCACTGGTGGGTGGCACTGCTAGGCGGCACTACTGGGTGGCACTGCAGGGCACTGTTCATCACTGCCCTGATGATCAGTGCCAATTTGCTCAGTAACAGCTGCCTGTTATCGGCAGTACTTTCCGCACACTGTGACAGCGTGAAGAAAGTGCAGCCAACAGGCAACTGTATTTACTCCGTGATCTGCTGTGTCATTGGACACAGCTGATCACGTGGTATAAGGACGCTGTGATTGGCCTTTTACTTCATTACGTGATCAGCTGTGTCACAGAGATCACCGGGTACGTGCCACTGGGGGCGTGCGGGAGGGCACTTTCTGGGAGGACGTCATATGTCACCCTGCCAGAACTGGATAACCAAGCTGTAGCCATCATTCAACTATAGCGTGGTTACCAAGTGGTTAAGATGCACTATATAGCACTTAAAGCGAAACTTCACACTAAAGGGGAAGTTCCACTTTATGCCTTCATCCTCCCTCCTCATCTGTTTTTGGGCACTTTTTTGGGGGTGGGGGGGAACAGGTACTTGGTTTTCACTTGTACCTGCTCTCACTTCTGGTCGGATCACTGCGGATCCACCAGAAGTTCCCTGCTACTGTAACAATGCACCTGCACTGCAGAGCACCGCTTCATGTTTACTGTACTATAAAAAAAAAAAGTTAGGTGTGATGTTCTGTGCATTAACACGTAAATGTATGTATTAAACCCTTTATAAACCTTTTACATTGTTGAAAGTCACAGTACATGTGTTGGTCTTTAAGATGTACTATATAGCACGTAAAGCTAAACATCACCCTAAAAGAGGAAGTTCCGCTTTATGCTCTCCTACTCCCTCCTCGTCTGTTTTTGGGCACTTTTTGGGGGATGGGGAGAGTAGGTACTTGGTTTTGACTTGTACCTGCTCCCACTTTGGTTGAATCACTGCGGATCCACCGGAGGTTCCCCCACCACCCCGTTCGCAATCTTGTAGAACACTTCACAGGTCCCAGAAGGCTGCTCGACTATTCACAACAATGTGGCTCATGCATGCACAATGGGCAGCTGGCAGTGAAGCTGCAAGGAAGCACAGTGAACAACAGAATAAAATTGCTGCTATTTTTGCCCTGCTTTCACAGCCAATTTAATGGGACAACATTGCCACCTACTGGATTTTAGAGAAATAGCATTAAGTATAAATCTATAGTGCATTGGAAATTTGAAAAAAAAAATGTGATTGACATTAATGCTAAATCTTGTTTGTTTTATGCAACCCAGCCCAATTAAATAAAACATTGATGAGTTTGCACAAAACATTTAAATAATTTTTCATCCTATCTAAATAGATTCCAATTTAGTAAAAAGATCTCGATGGCAGCGAGCGATGTTGTACAGATTCTTCATATTTAAAAGGGTATGAGTTGTAGAGTGGAGAATGATTAGACTCCCCATCATCACATTTACATTGGTTTCTGTCCTTAACAACTCTCACCAAGACAGAGAGAGAAATTAGATCTTTCCAATTTCTCCCACTCCATCCAAAAAAAAAAAAATTATATATATATATATATATATATATTTTATAGCCATGGTTTTTATAGGTTAACTGGAAGATACAGAGCCCCCTGTCTTAAAGCATGGCCTGTAATTGTAAATGATTTAACACAAAGGATGAAAATATGAAATGATGTTCTGAAGAAGGATTAAAAGCTGGAAAAATCAGACATAAAAAAGATAATAAGGTGACATGTAGAGAAGAGAGCAGTGTATACACAATAAAAGGCCCAAGCACACCTGGTTACCTATGAATTACAGATCTAATTCCATTGACTTACATGCATCCATATTCTTCTACTGCTGGTAAGTAGATGCACATTCCCCCATTATAACAGTAGTCATCATAGATTGCAGGGCAATCCTTTATATAGCCGCTCCCTGAAGAGTTGTAAACGGTTGTAAAGAAAGTGCTGGTAGTTGTGGTCAACTCTGAAAATAATGTGATATTCAAACATTAGCTGGACTTAGAACAAAATGAGAACCATTATTCTAACCTTTTATAATATATATATACCAATGTGTTCCACATTACAGCATGTAGGAGATGTATTAAAAGTCAGTTTGCATGACTGTTATCTAAAATTGAACTACACTTAACCAATGACCACATCTCCTATATACTTGAGTCTGTGCATGTTAACAATACAGGTTTATTGTTTTGAGTAAGGCGCCATTCACACTAAGCTTGAGCTTTTTTTCAGGCGTTATTTCAAGCATTTTTTTCAGGCTTCTTTGAGCGTTTCTTTGAGCAGATTTGCAAATATTATAGGCATTTTTTCAGGCATTTTTCATTTATAATTATTATTATTATACAGGATTTATATAGCAATTATATAGCGATTTATATAGTTTGCTCAGTGCTTTACATTATGGTGGGAGACAGTACAGTAACAATACAGTTCAATACAAGAGGGATTTGAGGGCCCTGCTCCTTGGAGCTTACAATCTAGGCATTTAGGCATTTTTTTTCCTGTGGCCAATAGAAATAGAAATAGCTGCTGTTTGAGCTGAAAATGCATGAAAAAACACTTGAAAAAACATTTGCAAAAACTATCATTCCCACTGTGCAGGCATTTCCCATTCAAGTCTATGGGGACAAAATGATCAGATTTGCCTGAAAAGTAGTGCAAGTACTTTTTTGAGCTAGAGGCATTGTGCTACAGGCAACAGAACGCTCAGGTGTGAACACGGGACCATTGGAAATAATAGGATTTTACTTGTTGAGCATGTTTGAGCGTTGAGCTTCAAGTTGAAAAATGCTCAAGTGTGAATGCAGCCTAAAGATATATTTGGAATAATATAACCTGCATACATTAGAAAATCTTATTGTTAATTTTTGATCCTTTCCATCATTTGTCACATTGTTTTGATTTCCAATCAGATACCCGGCAGTGTCATTACTAAGGTTGTCCAACCTCTAAGGTGTGCTTGAGAGTCTCTGAACACTGCTTGCAAATTGGACAGGGTCAGATTACAATCATGTGTCCTCAATCAATGCTATAGTGTTTCCCCTGTCACCATGATGTAAATTTTAAAGCAGTAAACCCAAAACAGAAATGAAATTATATTTCAGCTTACCAATCCTTAAATGTGGTGGCTGCATTCGTTTTCCTTTTTTAGGCTTTTTGCCTTTATTTTCCCCTGGTGATCTGACCACTTACACACCTACTGTCTTACAGTGTCTCCACTCTGGAAGGAGGAGCAATAAAGACACCCTTGTACAGCAGCATTATCAATCTGAAGAGAGGATAGTGGTAGATGGCCTAGAAAATTTAGCAGACTTGACTAACAAACTAAAACTGAACTGCAGCTAACACTTTTTTAAGTGGGCACAGTAACAGTTTACTTTTATATATTGGGATAAAAGTTTGACATAAAAAACTAAAAGTGTCCACTGTAAACATCCTTTTGAGTGTGAACCCTCGAACTGCAATTTTTGCTGGACAGTTTGGTCTGTTAACGGAAACTAAAAAAAAACAACAGACTTTCTGGCAGGATCAACAGGTGAAAATAAAGAGGAAATGTGTAAAAAAAGAAAATAATGCAACCATCACATCTAAGAATTGGTAAGTTGCAATATAATATTTTTTTTGTTTGGGATTTAATACCGCTTTAAGTAGCACCTATTTTGACAGTTACACCCCGGTCACTTTAAACCCGACTTTGAAATCGTGTGACTCACAGTAAAGTTGCACGATTTCAAAGTCGGTGACTTGCTGATTTCAGGTGCGATTTGCAAGACATCTGACACAGATGTCTATGCAAATCATACCAAACGTAGTGCATGTACTACTTTAGAAATCGGTGTGGCTCCAACCAAGTCGTAACCGCACCAATATGGCCGCTCTAATTGCGGACAATAAGGTGCGACTTGGCATGCAATTTGCAAGTCGCATGGCATGCAAATAGCATGCCAATTCACATCTAGTGTGACTGGGGATGACAGAACACCAAATAGCCTGTAGAGGAGTCAGAGGTGTTAGTTAAATAATGTTTTTGGATAGAGGGGTAAGAAAAACTAAGTAGGTTGTAACTTGCATTGTTTAAATCTCCACGTTATATTATACTGTATATACAGCATGGAGCTATATATTATATTATTTTGTGATATGAAAGAGGCTTTATATTTTAGGTGTATCTGGGCATTTTAATCTAGGGGTTCTGTATGTAGTTAGAAATTTGGGCATAAAAGAAAGTGCCGAATAAACCCTTTTTTATTTATGATAGATGTGGTGACATTTTAAAAAGGTAATCATAGTGCAGAATAAGGCATACTTTGACAAATGTATGAACTGCAATGAAAATGTATGAACTGGTAATACCTCTTGTCCTTGGTAACCGTTTCACACACTTGCCCTGGATATATGTCATAGCACCTCAGTAAAAGAATGCAGGGCTTAGTGGGAATGGGTCAGAGCTTTGCGGCACTGTGACTCCAGCACATTTATGTCATAGCTCCACTACGACTAGGCTTTGCAGAGGTACTGACAAGAGCTTTAGTCCAATCTGTGTTGCAAGTATTTACTAAAAGAAAACAGACTACTCACTTAGCAAAATGAATGTTCACTTTGTAGCGTAGAGGTGAATGTTCACTTTTGCAATGTGAATGTTTACTTAGTATAGTGAATTAGGTTTATTGGTAG